ACCCCTATAAATTTTAGCCATAACACCTTCAAGATGCTGGGGGCGGGGGGGAGCCAAACCCATCATCCCACCAGCCATTCCACAGAATATATCTCATTCCCAGACTGAACAGGCAATATGGTTGAAGGGCTATAGTGATGCCCTGAGGCTGTTAGAGCTGGATGGAGAGGAACTTGCTGTATGATGCAGCGAGGAGTATGGATTTGAAAATGAATGCACTGAAAACCAAGATAGTTGTGTTTGACAGAGAAAATGGAGTGAATGATTTCAAGTTATACATACATGATAAAACTGGAGCAAGTAGATGCCTGTATATAGCTTGGTAGAATGTTTATTAAAGAAAATGGAGAAATGTTAGGATGTGTAAATGCTGGCAGAAAGGTGGTAGTAATATGTGGTCTGTTATGAGGAATGAATGTTTGTTGAAAGAAATAAAAATGGCAGTGTAGAGAAACATGCTTTTGCCCACTTAATTACATGGAAATTAGGATTTAGTATTTCAGGAGACTGAGAAAGTTGTGATTGGATGGAGTTGGTGAGATCCTCAGAAAGAGGTAAGAAGTTTAAAAAGCAATCTTGGAAGCAGTATATGGTTGAAGTGGAAGCCAGGATTGTTTGGAAAGATAAAAACATATGGACAGGTTTACCAAACACTTGGATTCACAAAATGCATTAAGCCACAAAAACCTAGCCATGGTTATCACTACAGGTAGTCCTTGATTATGACCATTTGTTTAATGACCGTTTGAAGTTATGCAGTGCTGAAAAAGTGACGACTGGTCCCCAATGGACTGGGACCATTGCAGCATACCCACAGTCATGTGATCAAAATTCAGGCGCTTGGCAACTGGCATGTATGTACAACGGTTGCAGTGTCCTGGGGTCATGTGACCATTTGCGACCTTCCCAGGGGGGCTTCCAACAAGCAAAGTCAATGGGGAAAGCCAGATTCACTTAAAGACCGTGTGATTTACTTAATGACCATGGGAAAAGTCATAAAATTGGGCATGACTCATTTAATCACATTGCTTAGCGATGGAAGTTCCAGTCCCAGTCGAGGACTACCTGTACCCAGGTTTAGCATGCTGGAATTAATCTACTAGGTTTTATCTGGCCTTACTATGCATGTTATGTGAATGCAGGCTCTGTATTGCAGAAGCAGGTAGCTGATCCTTTTTAAAGCCTAGATTGCAGTACTGAAGTTTGGTGGCAAATTACCAAAAGCCAAAAGAGTGACTTTTTTTTTAAAGAAAGAAAATACTATTTTACACCCTGAAAACTCCTTAAATAATTAATTACTTAAATAAAATAACTGTTTTTAAACAGTTAAGCGAGTTCTCATCCTGCCCTCTTCAGTGATATCACACCACACCCTACAGCTCTTGGAAGAGGGAAAAACAAAGTACATCCTTCAGATACAAAAGTGTTGCCTCTTCTATATTGCATTGATATGTAATTCTTGTTCTGGATCTGGAGGAATAGTTTTGTTCGAAGAACTTGTATTTATCCTTTCTTTCCTTGCCTACATTCATGATTTTTTTCTTATTGTGTGAAGTGTGAGTTGAGAAAATATCAACTAATCTAAATATTTGAAACATAGCTTTCCTCCATCTGATGATCTGTAGTCTGGTGGCTACAACTCCCAAAGTTTCTGGCAACATGGCCTTATTGGCTGACAGTTTTCAGAGGTGTAGCACAACTTGTCTAGCAGGCATCAGATTGGATAAGGGTGAACAAAACTAAACAGTTTGAGAGCTGATTCTTATATAACATTCTTCCAAGGAGTTTCCATCCCTTTTCAACTATTTGCTATGTAACTTGCTTGATAAGAGCTGGAGATTCTCTATGTGGTTTGCCTTTTTTTTTTTTTTTTTAATCTAATCAATTACTCAGAAAAAGCTGCAACAGGAAAGAGATACTATCCCAGCCTTGCACATATTTACTTGGGGAGAAATGTGGTCAGTGTGCTTAAGATGGTAATCTTTGCTTAAGATATTAGCAGGTCAGTCTACTCATAGATGGAGTTTATTTACTATTTGGTGCAGCATCTCAGAGCAGTGCTCTTTATCAGTGGATGTTACATTTGTCGACACTTAGGAGACTAGTAGACAAGTAGGAGATTTAATTAATATTGAGAAGTAGGGAAGGTGAGGTCCTCTGAATGCTGCTGACTACAAATATTAGCAACTGTGCTGGCTGGAACTGCTGGAAACTGTATTTTGGCAACATTGAAAGATGCACAGCTGCTTCTACCATAAAACCAAATAAACTTATAGTGAAATGCAATCTAAACCTGTGAAGCAGCTGAAGCCAATTTGATGCAGGCAACTACTTTGTGATGCTGAGAGGCCTTTGGGGATTTGGGCAGAATAGGAGAAACATTTCTGTGCACAAAGTATCTGCTCAGACTCAAACTAGGGAAATGTGCAGAATATATTAAACATCCTTAATATCCTTTAAAAAAAATCCTTAAAATTTTTTTTTTTTTAAATATCCTTAAAAAAACCCCAAACA